GCTCACAGATTCTGTTGAATGCACGGAATTTTAATGGAGCCAACCAAATTCTGATGTGGACAGACAAAGGGGGCCACCTCTATATCAATATCTTCTTCATGCCTTCCTTTATGGGGCTGCCCATGTGGGCATCAATGGGAGGGCCGTTGAAATGCAATAAAGTGCGACATATTCCATGTTAGTGCATTTAAATAGCCCTCCCACAAATGCTGATGTGAGTTGTAGCAACCCTGTAACCCAAGTGCAGCCTAAGGGATAATTTTGTCTTCCTTCATAAGGCAGAATTATTGTTTGATGGAACCAGCATATATGTTAAGTATTGGCATCCCAATCAATGGAGAACTTGACAGATTTTATGACCAAGAGCCATTAAGGTAAATCGCTCTAATGGAAGCCAATCGATTATATGCGCTTAGAAGACACCATGCATCAGAGACAATTTGATGGTTGGATAGTACTATGTGCACCGTCATTCTGGGTCAAATACATCTGTCCAAAACGTTCAATGGAACATAGAATATGAAGGCCACTGAGTGGGAACGATACTGGCAGCGGCAGTAGATGTATACTTTATCCAGAAGTAATATTGTACTACTTCCTCCATCCAATATTAATTGTCCTCTATTTAAAAGATAAATTTCGTTATCTAAACCGCCTTAAAAGTACTAATAAAGGTCAGAATCGAAAAGATTGGGTCCCAAAACCCTTGACTACCAATTTTTGTGAAAAAATACCTAACACCACAACCTTTGACAGCCCCCTGAAATTGCCAAAGATTTGGCCCAAAATTGTGCATTCTGATTCGGCGTTCGTTGGAGATCCATATGGTTCTGGGTCGCTCCCCCCCCCGGCATGCCAAACCAAAGTTGTGCTTGCCATTGCAGCGAAGGGCAGCGTCCCTCTCGTGGTTCAGCGCTTGCCAAACATGCTCCACTGTGTCTGGATCCCCATCAAATAAGCCCGTTGTCACAGCATCGACGATGGCAGAAATCGCTGCCCTCCCGGATCTCTGATGCAAGGACTTGCCACCAGTGGAAAAGGCAAACGCCCAGCACGCTCAAGCTTGGACTCTATGTGTGCTATCGTTCTAAGGTTGTGCTACAACTTTTCTCTAACATAACACCTCGATTGATCTTTGAATCGAGGCCTTCGTGTGTGGCTGGGCCCACACTCCCATAATTGGCACTAGCGGCCAACTTGTACATGCAATCCGCAACCCTTCCCAATTTGCATAGTCTCAACTTGTCAGAGAGACACAAAATGATCTATCTGACCGTTCGCATCGCGTTCCACCTTTTCAATTGTCGCGGCAAGGGTCGACTTTGCCATCCCCCAATCCAAGCCATTCCCCCAATCGTCCGCCATAGATTAGGGTGATGGCCATCACATTCCTTCGCACCTTTTCAAGGGACTTGGGAGGCCTTGCGCAGTATCTCTCACAGCAGCGATGGAGTTCGAAAGGCCATGGCCCAGAAATCTGGGCCGGGAATGCAACCCCGAATTGGCCAATCGATCTCGAATTAGGTCAGCGAAGCCATGGCGACTTCCACGATGAAGCCCACCAAGACACGTTTTCTGCCACTTTGCTTGTTCGCAGGGACCCCTCCAAGCTTCTGTCCAAACGGCATGGATGGTTTTGCATGGGCGGTCTTGTTTGGCCGCCGCAAAGTCGTGCTCCTCCCCATCGCGAAAACGGCTGTTTCGGTGACTGTTGAAAAACGGGTGGGTTTCTGGCGGGAGGACCCTATTATAAAGTGCTGCCAAATCCTCAATACTAAATGGATTAACCTGAAATTTTGACCGTATATTCCCAAAACATAGGCGTACCATTGGCAGAAATGTCATTGAAAAATGAAGTATCTGAGATGGAGATGTATGGCGGCAAAATCATAGAGGATAATTAATCTTGGACGGAGGAAGTAGATGATAGTGGTAACAACTTGGCCCAAATAATATGGGAGAGGATGGGAGCTTTAGCAAGGACGATATGCATGGGAGTAAGCCTCATAGACTGTGATATATTCAGGCAGATTGGGGCTGGTAGGGCAGCTGCCCAAGCAATCATATCATATAATGCAGTTGTAGCATGTAGAACTTGCGCTAATTACTTGTGTGGTCACGATCGCATCATCAATGAAGCTAATGATGATATTGCATTCTGGTATCATTTGATTGATATTCTGGGGTGCTTGGGGCTTAACATTCTCTGCTAGGAATATTTCTTCTTGAGACTCTAGGACGTCTGGACTTGTGGAACATTAGGACATGGGAGCTCTTGGAGCTTTAGCATTCTGGGTTGTTGGGACGTTTGCACATCAAATACATTCTTGTTGATGCTATATTCAACACCTTTGTATATAAACCTCTCTCTACATGGGCATCCCTTTATTTTGCTTTTGATCTATATCGCCGAAACGTGGCACAGGTTGTGGACATCATGTTTACGTTGCTAGGAGCGGAGTCGGTTTTTGTGAACGCTATATAGTTGAGGAATTCATCATCATCATCATCATCGTCATTGTGAGGCTGAAAGAACCATTGATAAGTGATAATGTGACATATGGAGATACGTGATGAAGTATGGCATGGTGAATATGGTGATGGTGTTACAGTGACATGTACGTGGATAAATGAGAGGGGAATGGAAGGAATGGTTCCGTGAGTACAGTTACTTCACTGACACACTCATCCTGTAATGCATCTGTTTACGGTCTTGCTTCTATGCTTGACAGCGACCGAGTGCGGACCAAGCGCCAACGGTCAGCGCGATAGTCATCATCGTCATCACCATATTTAGGGAACAAGGAAATGAGGTAGCCTTCCGCTTCTTCTGTTGCCTGAGCAAAGCAGAGTCTACGATCATTTCGTTGAGCTTTAATGTTAAACACAAACAAAGTCTATGGGTATATGAGTCTATGGGTCTATGGGTCTAAAGCTCGCACTGCCTATAGGCTTTTGGACCATCGTCGTTGATGAGGGTGTACTGACCGGGCTCCATCATCACAAAAACCAAGAGATATGGATAGCAAATAGGGGTCGCAAGGGCATTTATGAGCGAGCGGATCTATTTAAGAAGTGTTGCGGATAGGGTGGGAATGGTTGTGGCATCCTCAACACTATTAAAAAGCATCTTCCATAGTGCATAGTCCAGAAAATCGTGTATTGTGTCGTGCATGTAAGAGTCGTGCGCCAATCGTGCACGATCACAATGTACACGTGTTCCTTTGGTACACAGTTGAAATCGTGTAAAGCATCGCGTTGTCCATGGCGGTAGGGTGGGACACTTTCGTGTACTGCACAGGGCTGAAAACTACACGATTTTAGCAATTGTGTAAAGCCGTGCTCCAGAGTACCCGATTTTTACAAGATGTCAACGCAATTTTGAGCGATTGCGCGCCATGTAAAATGGTCGATTTTTACCAGTGCAAGCAGAACAGTCATATTGAAGCACATTACCAGCTGTAATTCCGGGATTCTGTATGGAAATGATCAAGCCAGAATAGCTGGGGCAGTCACAAAATCCAAACGTAGTAAAAGTGCCTGAAAATGCGGTAATGGACGGCCCACCACTAGTGCATCCCATTGCATAGTGCGGCCGCCGCTCCATGTTGGTTGCGATACGCTTGGCGCCATATCGATGTGAAGTGCCCAGAGGTCCAATCCCGTGACAATAAGCTGTTATGCAACGGCCACACCCACAATATCTGATAAGAGCTCAAACCGCCGCTTATCAGACGCTCACAATCCAATATTCCCACAAAACCTTTGTTGAATGCTTATCTTAAAGGAAGGCCCAAAAAGTCTCAGTTGACAATGTAGAATACCTGCAGGCTGTAAAGTGAGGATCTCATCTGAATGTCTGACGTTGAACCCATCGTCTCTGCATCTGCATTTGCACATTTGATAACAACGTTTATGTTGATAGGACGCCCACACACTCTGCTCTGCTGCCACAAAAATCTACATTTTGCTTGCATTTTGTTAAAATATATCCCGTCGCCCATCGAGCCACCAACGAAGATTTCATTCAGTACTGGGCACTACAGAGTCGAGACTTCGAGAGCAGCGCTTAAATGAAATGCAATCATAAGCGCTGAAATGAAATCATTTACATGTGTACGTCACTGCTGTCATCAACATGATCCAATTGTTCACGATATTGATATTCACATGGGCCACCTTCTATTGAAGCGACCCTCCAACCAATACAAAATACTCAGAGAAATATATGGTCACGTGGCAAATCGATCCAACTAGGAGCCTTGGTTCTTTTTTCGCTCCCAGAATTCGTTGCTGTCGCGAAATCCCTCAAACAAGACATTGACAATATCTCTCAAATCTTGCGTCCTTCCACACGTTGATAGGATCTTGGATGAAAGTCTGGTATCTGCATCTGGAACTGAAGCATCAAAAACACACAGTGCGTTAGCTACCAGGAATATTGAGTGTGATGGATGATTACTTAGCCATTTGGATGATATATGTTTTATCAAACAGTATCTGTCTGCTCCGCTTTCTTATCAAACGGCATTCAAAGAATGTCAGAAAATATCTATGCCTTGACCCGGTCAGTCTAATGTGGGGATATCAGCACATGATTGCCAAGGGTGAAGGAATGCGAGGCAGTCGAGACTATTTCTTTCAGCCAGCGACCGGCAAATTAATTTGATAATGCGATGGGCATTTCGTTCAATCAAATCCAACATTTTTACATGAGAAGCACAATGTTGCACGCACTCGACTGTTCGTTCTTCGATGAAAGTCAATGAATTTCTCTTGTGAACGTCCGTTTACGCCAAGATGCATATGATCTGTTGTATCAGTGCAGTGATACAAGATTCTACATGGAATCTCATGAGTCTGCCGTGCAATACGGGCTGACACTGAGAAGCACTCCTCTGGGCAGCAAATAATGCTCCCGAATAGACTCAAGCCTTGCTGCTTGCAGGCTGCGCCGTTTTCCTGGCGGGCCTGGCGCAATAGCAAACGACTTTGCTTACCCTCTGCAGGCGCATTCGCTCTTGAAACCTCCGTTGCAGCAGTCGGCGGCGAGGCCCCGGCAAAGAGGGTACAGGCACTTGGCGATTGCCTCGGCGTTGGCCTCTGCGAGTGCTTCCGACACGTTGTCTCCGTAACCATCGGCCTGAGCCTCAGCAAGGGCGTCTGTTGCAAACAGCATCGCAAGCAATGGTATCATGGCTTTTTTGAAGGCACACAATGGTTATCGAGGGCGCTATGTGGTGTCGACACTGATGTCACAACCGTGAGCATATTGGAGCCTGGCGATGTACCGTTGACAGTGCTGTCCCAATCAGGAGCAATTAACAACAACGGAGTCCTCTCAAATTATGGAAACTTCAAGAGCATTGTCGGACATTCAGGCAATTGCCAACCACTTAAAGGGTAATGCTCAAAACAAATTTTATGGAAATATTTGACTCAGGTTGGTGCAGACTACCACGGCCTAATCAGAAGATCGGATGCTATGATCGATTCTGCACTCGCCGCGAAGCCGCAAAAGAACTTGTACCCGCGCGATGTGCCGGCAGACCTCCCACCTGAGAATGCCTCCGCCACCTGGTCGCAACTGCCTCCCGATATAGCCTGGGCGTAGGCATCGGCGAAGGCCTGGGCAATGCCTCCCCCCACTGCCAAGGCCTCGGATGTCGCCTCTGCGAGGGCGCGCCTGTTTGTGGAGCCGGCCTCCACGATTGCCTCCGCTAGGGCTGTGCCCACCGCCTCGTTGTTCTTACCCCAGGCCTCCGCAATGACGCTGGCCACAGCCTCTACCTTGCCGCTGCCAATGATTTCGGCGAGAACCTACAAAAGGGAAGTGCACAGTCGGTCATAAGTGGAAGCCGCTGGCCCGTGCGACATTCACAGATTCAAAGGAGAGATAAAGCACATGGGAACAAGCGTGAGGGAACGATGGTGAGAGCCTGAAAGTATTCGAACAGAAACCTGAAAGTGTCCACGGGCTCTGAGAATGAAATATCTGGTGCACGGAAAACGTCCACGTGCCGTTTTCACAAGCGGCGGCATACCCCGCTGAGAGGAGAAAGATCCATTGGCGAATCTATTGCCATGGCAGCGACAAAGACGCAGCAGCTTCGATGGCGGGACATCGAACCGGGCGTCTGCCGACGGCGCCGTCTGCAGACTTCGCGACGGGAGGGAAACTGTCGCGATCCAACAATACGCGGCAGACAAGCAGAACTGACGGCACCGGCGATCGGTGTGTCCGCATTTCCAGCCACAATGCCACCGTGTTGTGTCACTGCTATTTTTTGGCGGTCATTCGGCCATGCATGTCACCGTCGCCAGCGCCCTACTCCCTACTCCCTACGCCCTATTCCTTCGTTAACCCACCTCGGATATAGCGGTGGCTGTGGCTCCCTTCGCAGCGGCCGCCTCTGCGATGCTCTCGGCCAAAGCGGACCCCTTTCCATCGGCGATCGCCGTCGCGAGGGCGTCCGCTACAGCCACACTGTCGCCGTCCCTGCTCTCCGCAAAGCCGACAGCGTTGGCAAAGGCATCGCCGCCGTTCATCGATTTGGCCAGGGAAGACGCGATCGACTGCGCCGTGCCTGCGCCAAGTGACAGCGGTTCAATCGTACCGCCTCTGAGTGCACCAAGGCGATAGTGGGCAACGTGAGCCGCAGATCTTGGTTTGAGATGCATCAAGTTAGTCTCCAAGGGCTTCAAAATCAACACTTCAGAGACACTGCAAAATTATAAACATATGCATGTTGCAGTTCTAGAGCAACAAGGCGTCCCAATCTGCAAAGTTTGCAGTGCAAACTGCCCCACCTGCCCCACTTGCCCCATTCAGTCAGGATTGAAACACCTGAGTCTGGCGAAGGACGCACGGAGAGGCTGTACATCTCCGTCAGGGTGGCGAATCAATACGCCAGGGAATGATTCGAGGGACCAGGGGCTGACTGATGAACACTGTTTGTGAAAGCACAATGTGTGCAGCCGCATTCGAGCAACATTTTGAGTACCTCCCCGCCCATCGCTCCTAGCCGTTGCCCTCGAAGTGGAAGATGCTCTTGCGCCTGCTCCGAAAGATACACAGATAGCCCCTGAGATGCCAGGGTGGAGTACATGGGTTCGATCGGCAGCCGGTCATCAGCGATCGATCCACGGCGATGTGCCGGGGTTCTGCGCTGTGCCCCCGGCTGTCACCGGCATATCGCACCACCTTAGCGCGAATCACGCAAGGGGTGAGTTTGTCCTTGTTCACGCGGATTGGCCACCCCAACGGCGAGCCGAACCACACGCCATTTCTCTAGGCATGTTGATGCAGGACTGCGAAGGGCGCTGGTGAAACGCAAACAACAAAGCGACTGAACCGGCACGCTCGATCCGCAGTGCAAACGACCTCTTGCTCGCCTTGCGGCCTCCCTCTGTGAGGTATGAGCGCCTTACCTTCACAAAGAGGAGAATGGGATATCGCCAAGAGCCCCCAAGCCACCGCGAACTTCAGCCACGAAACGGCCATCTTTGGCGCCGCACTCCTCTTGACAGCGCGTCACGCAGCACCCCAACTCAGGGACAGTGGATTCGCTGCGGCGCGAGGCAAAGCGCAGGTCTGTGCGGGCGTCCGCGTTCCGCAATTGCGCCCTCCCTGCCCTGCTCGCGGCTAAATACCGTCCGGCGACTCCTGCCGTTCGTCCCGAAATTCTTCCAGCCTGCGGGACAGCTGTCGGTGCTGAACTCACGGCAGTCGCGTCAAATGCGCCCATCGCCAGCCGGCAGATTGGCTGGCGTGACGGGTGCGAGGGCTGCTGCCTGTTCGTTTGGACATGTCCTATAAAGGGAGCAGCGGAGACGCTGACAGGCTCTCAAATGTTCTGCAGCGCCAATGTGAGTTCAGGCTGCAGCTGCATGCGTCTTTGTGTGGCTGCCAGCTGGCGCCTTCTGGACAGGCTTCTCGCCACTAGTGACAGTACTGTCAATTGCGTCGTCGCCTTCATTTCTTGCTGGCGAGATATGACGCTTCGGGCGTTGGATTGATCCAAGAATCAGCGTATCCTCCTGTCCAGTTCAAACTTGCTGCACGAAGTCGCATCTAGGGAAGGATCAGACTGGCCAGGGTGTGATCGGACAGCGCCATCAAATCATGGCTCGACTCGATGACTCGAGCCATGGTTTGATGCTGTTGTTTCTTTATATCGAGATGGGCAGCACGGTATCAAAAAGAGCGAGGCGTCGCTGGCTATGCAGGAGTGGTCGCGCCAGACCAGCTGGTCGCATCAGTCCCGATATTCTTCCCGGGCGGCTTCAATGCGTGTGGGTCTACACGCATCAACACAATCAGTTGCGGAAGCGCCATTAAGCGGCGGTGTGGTGTTGTGAAGGCTTGGTTTTACGTTTACGACTCCATTTTTACATTTGCGTTTTTGCTCGTAAAACCACGCAAACAGAGAAACAGCCATTTTTATAGCCATATTTGCGCATGTTTGTTGCTCGTCGTCACGCCCAGATTACATGATGATGTCCCAACCAATGATCAATCCTCCACAATCTACAGCACCGACAACATAGAGCACACCTAGCCCTCAGCAAGGGCAGCGACGTCGCCTTGCCGAGCAAAATGTTGTTTTATGCATACTTCAGTGCATCTAGATGCCACTCCCTGGACACCCGTAGTCTGTATGTGCTGTCTTTAAGTACACATATCCCATTTCTTACGCATTTGTACTGCTATTTATGAGTAAAAACATTAAGCCATTTTTGTGTGCAAATAGCCATAAGCACAAAAGTGTTTGCGCCGTAAATAACAAGCCTGGAGCCAGGGGGCAATGGGGAGCTTCTGCCAGGCAAAGGCAAGTCACGGTTGTGGTGAGGAGTTGCGGGCACACCGTTCCCTATACAGTTCGCCCATTCGCAGCCCACATCGACTGCAGATCATGATACCGTGCAACGCTGTGGCTGATCCCAGTTAAACAAAATTTTGAGTCTCTCCTAATTAACGAGGAGAGCCCCTCGTAAATGACTCTTACCGGCTGATGCTCGGGGAACGGCTTGGGCGTAACTCGGTTGAGAAAACTCGCCATGGAGGGGAATTTTCGAGGCCCATGTGATGTGTCGAGGAACGGCAAGCAGCGTGAGGTTGTGTTCAAGTCACAACGAGTGGAAGAGGCGGTGGACTCAGATGCAAACCCACCTGAGGCGACGTTCACCAACTGTTGAAGGAATGGCCGTTTATGCGATTCAAACGGCTCCCCTTGGAGTGCACACAAGAAGCGCGAATCCACGATCGACGATGCTTCAATGGGTTGGCACACAGCCAGACGCAAGGCCACACCACACACGAAACGCCCGGGGCTTACATATTTGTTCACCCTTCCCACAACGAAGAGCCTTGCCGACGGTGGCAATGACCCCCGCAAGCGAACAATTCGAATTCCCTTGCACCCACAGAACTCTCCTTTTCACGTGACAAGGTCCATCATCCATCACCAACCAGCCATACCGCACTTCAGAGATGCCCATTCATCGCCACAATACAACCCACTCTATAACACATATACTAAAGGTGCCCATACACTCAATGGAAATGTAGAAATATTTCAGCTGCGAGCACGACCCCAACATAACATATATCTTTGAAACGGATGGCGTCTCCCACAACATTCAAATTGATGCTCACAAAAGTCCCATCACATGAGAAATAATTCTGTGAGTTCTAAAACATGTTTTTCTTTTCTCTATACATTCAGAATGTCTTGCCAAGACGATGTCTTGCCAAAAGAAAAACATGTTTTAGAACTCACAGAATTATTTCTCATGTGATGGGACTTTTGTGAGCGTCAATTTGAATGTTGTGGGAGACGCCATCCGTTTCAAAGATAAATGTTATGTTGTCTACTCGTGTATACACGAATGTATACATGTCAAGAAGATGGTTTATATGCAATGCATATAAACCATCTTCTTGACGTGTATATAAGTCGCACACCATAATGCATAAGTGATCCACCTAGAGAAACGGTGGTCATTATGCGGTGTTGCAAACACAACGCAATTCCCAGTATCGTTCGCCCATCGAACTCGACAGCGCTGCCACCCCTCGGCCGGAATGCAGTTAGGCGATAGAAACTGGTAGAACGCAATTTAAGACGCCGACCCACGGTGGCACAACCCTTTCTTTTTCAGGTGTCCAACCCCTTCCTTTCTTTGTGCTTTTGCCTTGATGTTGTGGAGTAGGTTGGTGTGGATGGGGGAAACATCACTAGGGAAAAAAGGGCCAAATAACACGTGTTCAAACGTGTACAAAGTTTACAGGTTTGTGTTATTTTTGTGTTCTTAGCGTGCAGAACTTTGAGGAAATGTGTTTTGTGTGTGTTCGCAAAAGTGCTATTTGCCCCTTTTTTCCCTAGTGCATTGTGAGGTCGTTGTAGCCCGCCAGCTGAGGGGCCCCGCTTGACTATTTGAATTCAGCAGAGACGCTTGGCATGACCAGTGTGTCGATATCCACGCTGGCTTTAAGGATGTTCATTCATTCATTCATTCCCTCCACGGCGGCACCTTATAAGAAGGATAATTTGTATGTTGTATAACTACGCATATCGTAATGAGTAATTACTGCATCTGGTCCTGACCGACTCGCCGATTCAGGGCAACAGCAAATCCGGACAATGCCCAGCGGGTGAGGCCTCCCAGCGAGAGGGCCCTTTTGTGAGTCGCTGGAAACTGGCCCCTGCAAAGTAGGTGCCCTATGGGTCTGGCGGGCACCCGGATCTGGATGTTGAAGAGCGACGTAAGGCCATGAGTCATGGTGACTGAAGAACTCCGGAACCGCAGTGGACACCAAAGCCAAGTCCTGTGCACGCACGATTGCATGTGGCTGTCCCTGTCCGTTCCCACTGGCGGAGCTGTGAGAAGGCAGTTTGATACCCAGATTGGCAGCCTGTCCTTTTCAGATCAGAGGGCCGATGCTTGCGCATTCTCCCCCTTCCCCTCCCTCCCCTTTTTCCCGTCAAGCATACCATGGTCGGCATGTTGCCCCCCTCACCCCCTTAGTTGTGTCACCATGGGCTACGCCAAGCACTCCTCCAACAGCAAATTCGCAGGCAACGGTCGCAAGTGGTCCAGGTGAAGGGAGTGCTCATTCAGGTGCGCTGCCATGGCCTTAATTGCCTGCGCAAGCTATTAGCAAGCCACAACACCGTCAATGGGTTCCGTTTCGACTCGCACACGCAGCTTGCAAGCCAAATGCGCAGGAGCTGCCGGCCAGATACAAGTCCGTGGGTAAACATCAATGTTCACACCTGTCGCCACAAATCTTTCCAGGATGAGTCGCTCTCCCTCCTGCCATCGGGCGACTTCCATCGCGATTCCGAAGCGCGAGGCACAGTGAGACATTCGCTCACACGACTGGTATTGGCACTCGCCCACACAACTGACAGGCAAAGGTGGCCTTCTTGCTGGCTTCCTGTTGCTGCCTGTGGCCTTCTACTGCAGAGATTTGACATTTCTGAACCCGCAATTTGGAACCAAAAACCGTACGTCGGCTGGACTCGCACCGCCTCTGATAACTTAAAAATGAAAATCTGCATTCGACAATACGTTGTCTCTGCCCGCGACTCTGCCCTTCAAATTCGGAACGGGGCTGCTCCATTGGCATTGCGCTTTTGTTCTGGTGCCACAACTTTGGCAAGCTCTGCAAGGGCAGAGACATGCTCAAAAAAAGGGAGAAGAACAGAGGCAGTCTCAATTTCTCAGCCCGCAAAAAAGTCCCTCGAGTGACCATGGTACATCAGCGCCCCGCGGCGGCGACGCGCTCCCAACCCGCAACAAAAAGTACAATTTCCCGCAGACTCGTCCGTTGTGTCCCGGGGGAGGTGATGAATTCTTCGTCCCCCGTGTCAATCTG